TCTTTTGAAATAGATTTTTTTTTCTTTAGTGCCCCAGCAGTTTCAATCGAATTCTATAATTTAAAACCTATTTAAACTTTTAGACTTATTTCTGAGTTAAGGACAGATGGGGTTGTGCTGTCAATGTTTGCAACCCAGTGGCCATCTTTGTTTACCTCTTGTGTCTTTCACAGCATTCAGTTGCTGTTGCTGTTCAGTTTCCTGTTACAAAATGTTGCACGTTTTCATTCAGTGCTCTTAACTGCCACAATCAATTAAATACATAGTATTTGTCTTTCAACTAACACATGCCATCCATTTGTTTACCCAGCTCAAAACCTACAGAATTTTAAGATTGTTGACATGGATATGTTAGAAGAATTTACAGTTGGATTCCAAGCGTGGTTGTCCAATGAAGGACTCAGGACAATTGCTTGAAGTTGAAGTAGAGTTTATTCAAAAAGCCAGACAGTGAAACAGACAGAGAATTGAAGGCAGAAATATTTATAGAGGAAATTGGTTCCTTGTTTGTGAATTCTGCCTGTCAGTGTGTTTTGTCCTGGGAAATGCATGGGCTCCGGAGGGAAGGAAATTCAGTTTTCTCACCCAATATAATATGATAACCTTGTCTCTTTTGTGTGTCTAGGTGTTGGACTCTTGCTAGTGCTGGAGGACCTGAATTGTCTGGATAAAGGATTTCCATATCTTGAGGGGATTTCTTTAGTTATGATTGCTTTGGTATTTGTCAATTTCCTAATAGGAAATGTGCTTAATTGGTTTCAGCCAATGTGTTAATGTGGTTGGAAAGAGCTTAAGCAGTCTTTTGTTTTATTATTTGTGGGTTCACTGGCAGGTTGAGGAGATCTGAGCTTTGCGAGAGGAGTGGATTTTGAGGGGTGAGGTGGATGACATGAGAGGTATGTGGGCATTTTCTTCCTACAGATGCTTCTGTATGTTTCTGATATCCACCTTTGCATGAAAATTTTCAGTACTGAACCTGTAATCACTTGGTGAGTATTTAAAAGTATCCTATGACCTCTCCAGATAGTTAGAATGTCATTAAATATATTGTTTTGTTTTTGAAAACCTTCACTGTGAAACTGAGCGGCTCTTTCTTTACTTTGGTCATTAACTTTGCAGCAATTTTTAAAACCAGAACACTAAAATTTGATTTGTTGTTGAACAATAACATAATACCCATGAACCAATCATCTGAAATTTGGAAAAATTTATCATCTATGCCTAGAAAATAATTCCAAGTTTGCTAAGAAATAAAATATTAATTTTCAAAAGAAGGAAAAAAATTTCCTTTAATACATCACACTGCAAACTTGATTAAATTTCACACTGTTTTTAATTGAAAGCAAGGTAGAAAATGAAGAAATACATTATGACACACAGGGAAAAAACCAATTGTTATTTGGTATTTCTCAACTATAATGGGAAAATGTAGAGACTTGCAGTTTCCAGTCAAGTTGCCAGCCTAAAGCCTCATTTAATTCATCAAGTAATCACAGTGGAAAACAATCAGTTGGGCCAGAAATAAAGACCAGCTCCTTTAGAATGTACTGGAGGAGGAGTTAATTTAATGCCAGGAGAAAGATGCCCCCATTGAAGTGCACCTCCTGTGTCACACAAGCTGAACTAGCAATACAGCCACTTCTTCAATTTGTCCCAAACAGCAGAACACGGTTTGGGCCTTGTTTCTGTTGCTAAGCATGGATAGCATTCTACCTTTCTTTGTATTATCAGGCATCCTTTGCCAGGATACACTAAGATATCATATCGCTGCTGCTTAATTCTATGCCTCTGCCCCCCCTTCCCACCATTCTTTTGCACTCCAGCAAACAGCTGGGGAGCACAAGGAAGCCATGAACTATGCTGTCCTTACTCACCTCTTGGCTGTTATTTCACCTCCAACTAGAGTAAGCAGGATGAATGGCAGACAAATGGGAATGTCTCTTCCATGCAGCTTTCCCTGCTCCCATTGCAGTTCCTCACTAACAGCAAAAAAGGCATTTTCAACAAGTTATTCAGAAAATAGATGACGAGTTGGCAGAGGAGTCAACATCCACAAATATAACTAAGATACCTCCCTTATGTAGACTTATCAGAGTACATTCAATAATTGCACTGAGATAAGCAATGTATACAAAATTCTTTCTTCAGCTTTGTACTCTCTTACTTATTTTTGTTTATAGACTGACTCCATACAAACCCATTTCCCATGCCCTTGCACAGCCTTTGGATTAAGTTATATATTCTGTTAATACAATACTTGCAGTCATTTTTTTCTGTTCAATCATGTCCAATTAGAAATTGCCTCAACAAGTACTTGCAGTTGTCTTTGCAAGTTTTTTTTAGAAGAGATTTGCCACTGCCTCTTTCCTAGGGCTAAGAGAAAGTGATTGGCCCAAGGTCACCCAGAGGACTTTATGCCTAATAACTTATAGTCTCCTTGATACCTTATCTAACTTGATACCTTAACTACTACACCAAACTGGCTCTCACTTGTAGTCATAATGAAGTGTTTATATTGTATCTATGTCTATCCATATGTTGGCAATGGTAACAATACCTAGAGGGTTTCTACCCTTACAGGTTACTCCTTGACTCCATATTATGTACATTGCAGCCTCTTTGTAGTTGTTTGAGTGTGGTATGTCTATCACTGAATTCTTTAAACTGGATTGGATTTAGCAGTGGCATTTGCTATCCCTTCAAAAATAAATATTAATAATAATTTTAAAATGCCGAGTAAATTATATAATGCTGTGTACAAAACTTTGGCAACTCAAAAATTGTATACCATTTGTAAGTCATAAAACCCAACACAGGATCTCACGAAGCTCACTTTAGCAAGACAGATTGTAACATTTTTTTATTAAATATGTAAAAAGATAAACGCAAATCAAATTATTCACATATTCAGAGACAAAAAAAGTATATTCTGTCATGCGACAATTGGTGGGTAATGCAAAATGACTGGTACATCTGAATAAGACCTTTTGCATCTATTATGTCATTATCTATTTATAATTAACAATACATGTTTACATTCCTTTCAGTTTACATTTAATATATAACCAAAGCTTTATGGTGTGCTATTCAGTAAAAGTAATTGCAAATACATATTAAAACTGTAACGGAATAACAGGATTACTTACCACAGGGGAGGGGGGGTCCTCTTTCCTTCCAAGAGTCTCTCTCTCCCCTCAGCACAACTGAGCAGATCAGGTTTTATATTAAACTATTACCCTGCTGCCTCCTAAGCCAGCCACTTCCCATCTCCAAATGGGGGGAAAAATGCTCCATCGACTAGTCATACAAAGGGGACTGAAGAAAACCAGATACATTACTCTCCTCCCATGGAAACAAAATATTCCTATGTGACAGGATGGGGAGCAGAGAGGCTTTGGATGAGAGCAGTTTAGAAATAAACCTTGAAAAGCCCAAAAAGCGCTTCAAAAGGAAGTATTTTAAAAATTTCCTAGAAGGAAAAAGAAACAGACATGACTGCATTGATGGTGATGGGAGTGTTCAAAAATAATGACTTCCTCTGGGGTTTTTTAGCACAAGAAACATTTTGGAGGTGGCATAACAATAATAATTATGGATTTTTTGTTGGATTATGATAGCATATAGCTATGAATTTGATTATGCCTGCCAAGAGAAATCAAATCCTTTTCCTTAAAAATATTTATTTTTTTTAGAAAAGGTGGAAGTGTTATTTTATTTGTGATGAGTTGGCATAGTATATAGCTTTGTAAATTCTTCTGAGCTGAAGAGATGGAATTCAACTTCAGTTGAGCCTACAGGATTAAAGAGAGATTCTAATACATGCTGCCTGAGCTATAATTAAGTATCATTCTGAAGCAAGAAATTTCAGAGAAAAAGAAACTTTGAAAGATGCAACACATCATTTATAGTAATAATAGAACTAGCATTTATGACCACATCTAGAGTAGACTGAGACCTTCAGTGATGATAACCTGTACACTGAATTCTATTTGTTTTTTTGCTAGAATACTTAAAACCAATCCAATTTAAAACTGAGCAAAACATAAAACAGTGAATACAATGGAAAAATACTATAACTAGACTGTGAAAATGTGCAATTTAAACAATAAAGAATGTTTTAATATGATTTATTTCTATTATAAAAATGCCACAATCTAAGTGCAAATTTAACTAGAAGTTAATAGAACTCATGGCAATGAATATTTCTGTAATCCAGCGATTTGTTTCTTCATGCTACCAATCTATTCAGTTGCCACAGGCAGACTAAAATAACGCTTAATTTTTCTTTCTGAATAAGTAATCTCCCACCAATACAGCCTGGATACTGGCATTGCATCTGTGTGTATTTGAGTTACTGACTTTTAGATTTCAAAAAGATGTATGAAGATCTTTAGAAGATAAACTGTGTAACTGCTAGTAAATATTCTGACATGCCCAACCACTAGTTTCTGCTCTTACACAGAAGAAAAAGTAAAAGTTTGTTTTCATAATCAATATAGCCAGCAGTGGGGATTGGAATATAGGTGACATCTTCAGACATATATACTGTAAAGATTGGTATAAATGCTTAAATTGACAAACACTGAATATAGAATTGAAACAGGAATAACCTTTCTAGAAGAAGGAAGTGTCCAAAGAAAGATTAGGCAGGCATGTATGCATCTTCCAATACTATAAGATACACTGTATAGCTTTCTAGCATGCTTTGGATTATGACATCAGAAACATTACAGCTCTAGTATGTGTGCTTTTGTTCTAATTAGGGGAAAATATTTGAAATTACTTGAATTTGTCTATTTCAATTATTTCCCACTTTTGCCTTTTGTCCAAAGTAATGTCCAAGTGCACCGAATTACCATGAAATGTGAGAAACCTAACTGAATAGTACTTTTTGTTGTAAGAGATGCCCATATAAATAGTTTTGAACAAATTACAAATGTTATTCATACTTAAGACAGAAGGAAAAATAAATATATATATATATTATATTTATATATATATTTTAAAAAGCTGAACAAATTTCAAGCAGCCAGATAGTGACGTTGCAGTGGTAGAAACTGGGAACAAAACTTGCAGACCTTCTTAGGTGCAAACGCTGATAGAAGACTTCTGCAAAACACATCTTGGCAAGTTGGCTGACACTCACTATGGTACATTTATGTTAATGGCAGACAGAGAGTGATTGGTTTCAAGTCTGAGGCCACACACATTCCATTCTTCCAAAGAAAGTTCCCACAGAAAATCAGAAATAGCCAATATGCCAGATGGTCAGTATTCTTCCTGCTGCTGGGGCTGTTCATGAACCTGTTCTTCACCTTCATGTTCTTCTGTGTGGCTCTCCTATATAAAGTAGAAAACAAAACAAAAAAACAAATTTGATCAAACGCTAAAAGCAAAATTCTGTCTGCTTATCTTTCTAAAAAAATGTTAAGTGAGTTCAATATTTCTTAATCTTTGCCACCTAGATAGTTAAAATCGTTAGGAGTCTTATACACATTCCCGAATTACTTACCATTTTTATTTTAATTTAAAGCAAGGATTGTAAGGAAAGATGGAGTAAGAAACCTCTATACAGGGAAATTGAGTTTCAAATATGAATATGATTCATGGGGGATCATGGGATGGTAAGCTGACATTTTCTCTGTCTATTGATCTAATCTGTATCCTCCAGGTTCTTTTTATTATGAAGAATATTCATAATTCTTTTATGGACTATAATTTCTACAAAGAAATTCTGTGCCTTAGCTAAACCCACTTTGTGGAATAAATAGCATAGAGAGACAACATTGGAAGATCTTGAATATGAATGTTATCCAGTTCCATTAAAACTACATTATTTATGCTATTGTATAAAGGAAAAAATAGATGATGAAGACTTACATGTTCTTCTGAAGCATACAGAACTTCCATTAACCGTTGAACAAGACCATCGTTTTCTTCTCCGTGTTCTTGACATAGAAGCTCAATCTCCCTTAATTTTCCAAAATAGAAATCTCTCTCCTTCTCCACACCTTCAAGTGCAAGTTTTAATGAATGTACCTGTGAAAATAAACATTTAGGTAACTGTATATTTATATAGCAAATCATACAAACTGCACAATTGCTAGGCAAACAGAATGTTCACATGCATTCAACATCTAGAAACATATTTGTACTACATACTGAAGAATTCAATTGTTTCTAACTTTGATGTTTTTCCATAATACATCTCAAGTATTCTCTACCATCATTTGGACAAGCTTTAAAATGGTGGTCTTGTTCTATTCAGGTAGTCCTCAATTTACAACCATTTGTTTAATGATCAGTCCTCTAACTCAGGGGTCCCCAACCTGTGGGCCCTGGGCCACGGCCTATTGGCCACCAGGCCACATGAGTAGCTGGCCAGCGAGGTGTGTACACATGCAGCATCACTCACACAAGCATCACGGGTGTTCACGACTCCACTTGTGTGAGTGTCGCCAATTTGCGTGAGCATTGCAAGCGTTTGCAGCCCCACTTGTGTGAGCGTCTCAGGCTCTGGCAGCCCCACTTGAACGAGCAATGGGTGTTTGCATTCACCTCCCCACAAAACCATCCCTTCTTTCCCCCCTCCCCCCCACTCTGGGCCGCCAACAATGAAAGGTTGGGGAATTCTGCTCTAACTTACAACTGCTGCATAGTCATGTGATCATAGTCATGTGATCAAAATCTGGGTGCTTGGCAACCAGCAATGTATTTACAATGGTTGCAGAATTCTAGGTCAGGTGAAGGCCAGAAGGCTTATGACAAGCAAAGTCAATGAGGGAAGCCACAGTTGCTTCATGACCATATGGTTCACTTAACAACCACAGCACAGAAGTCATAAAATTAGCCATAACTCACTTAATGATCACATTGCTTAGCGATGAAAGTTCTGATCCCAATTGTGGTCACAAGTCAAGGATTTTAGCTGTGCTCATTAGCAAAAAGGATATTCCAGACTAACTTTAAACCAGCAGAACACTCCACAAACTCTGACAGGGCAAGTTGCCAGTATATAAAAAGAGAACAAACCCCACTCCCTTCAAACACTAATGTTACCTAGTTTGGTAGTGAAACACCTGCAAGAAAACAACCAACCTCAAAGAGCACCAAGGACCCCATAAGGGAAAGAACTAACCTCTTGGGCACTTCATATTGGATGCTTGGTAACCACACACACACACACGCACGCACGCATAACCATTCATTAGACCCAACTACTCTACTTCCTTAGTAGAACAATCATAGAGTGGTGCCTCCTAATCCTGTGATAGGTGTTTCAGAAGGATACTGAAATATTAAAGTCTCCTGAAAGATCTAACAGAAGGTTGGGTTCCCACCATTCACACCTCACTGCCAGCTATCTATGACAATGATCAGTGTGGTTTCCATTGTACCATAGCTTGAATCCTGACTGCCAAGATTCTAGAAAATCTGTTTCACCTCACCACTTTCTCCACAACCTTTCCCTCCAAAAGGCCCATCTTTAGGATACTAACAGGAATTTTTATTAAGCTAATTTAAACTTGAAAGATTTTCTTGCTCCCAGGTATATAAAAGGCAAGCAGGAAATACTAGATTTTTACACAGAAAATCTGAAAGTACCTTCTAACTGTAGCATCTATTCTATTCTTCCCATAGACCCTCTATGCAGAAAACCAATAGTATAGGGTTTTCTTGGGGAAAGGAGGTAAAATGATTATATTTTGGGTTGTTCAACAAGGCCAACCAAATATGTAAACTCTTCAAGGACACTGATTTATGTTACACAATTACTATGATGATATAATGAGATACCACTTGACTAAATGTTTACAAAGCATTTTTCATGTTATCATCCCAGGTTTCTACACTGGCATAAAAATAACTAAGGTAATTAGTTGAAGATGTAATGATTTTTCAAGTAGGTCAGCAATAAACAGTACTTAATTGTATTGAGAACACCTGAAAAACTTGGTGGAAGGAACAAGGAAGAGATTTCTGTTGCAAAATGAAAAGTGTTAAGAGCTCCAGTGAGTCACATGGCACCAAAGTGTTGAGAACTGCTATGGTTATCTGTTTAGAATCATTCAAGATTTCACTGCTTTGCTCATATGCAGAGTTATTTCCCATTTTGGTGGCCTAAGCATATTTACCTGTTCGCTGAGCTGTATGACTTGTGTCTCCAAATCTTTATCAGATTTTGACACTGAACTGCTTGGCGGTGTTTTTTTTGCTGAAGATGGACGAGATGATGTGGAGCCAGGTTTTGATGCAGGACTGGATTTGGCAGCACCTGAAAAAATATATTAAAATAGTTTTTAAAATATTAGTTAAAACCAAGACTTAAGGAAACAACTATGATGAATTTGGAGAATGAATAGGTAAAGCATTGTATGATTCAGTGGGCAAAGAACTTTGGATATAATGTAATGCTTAAACAATGGGAGAATATATGGACAAAAGGTCTAAAATTCATATTAAATTATAATTTAAAAGAAATTTTTTTATAAGATGATGTCTCAGTATCCAATAAGTTGTCAAGAAAGTATAAAGGTATCTCAAATGAATGTGGGAAATGTAAATGTAAAGAAGGATTTTTTTATCATTTATGGTGGACATGTGACAAAAAAAAAGCAATATTGGAGAAGGATTCATATTTTAATACAGAAGATTCTTAAAGTGAATATAAAGATAAAACCAGAGACTTTTCTTTTAGGCCTAATGGGCAAAGAACTTGGGGGAAAATGGAAATTTGATGTTATATATGTTGACGGCAGCATAATTACTTTATTCACTCCTTTAGCAGGCAGACCTCACAAAGATCCCTAACTGCAAGAAAAGAGCAAGCTGTATTTGGTGCACAGAATCCTGGTAGGCATTGGGAATACACAGGGGAATGTGTGATAAGCTGAGACTGCAGAAGCCAGGAGCCTGGGGGCCAGGATGGTATAGGGGCAGGGAGCCCAGCAGAAGGTAGAAGATGTCAAAGGTCAGCAGAGGTAGCCAGCAGAATGCAGGCTAGCCAAAGGGAAGAGATGGGGTGGAGATAAGCAATCGGGGAGAGTTGAAATAGAGGCGAGCACAGCAGGGTAGGAGAAGTCTGAGATCCTCACCTAACAATGGCATGATCCAGCCTAACAATCACAACTGGGACTATTGAAACTGCTGTCACTAAATGGTGCAAAGGGGTCATCTAATAACTACTTCACAGAGCAATGGAACTTCCAGTTTCAATTAGGCTCCTTCAGGTCATTCTGTGACTATTACCTGTACTATTTTCCTTTTCGCTCATCTCTTCTTCCACAGAACTATAAGAATCTATTTTCTTCTTCTTTTTAATAATATTTTTATTAATTTTCTAATTTTACATTTAGGTATTAAAAAAGCAACATGGTGGCTGGGTTAATCAATAGTTCAGTAACATACAAAAATCTTTAGTACAAATCTCAAAATACAATCTCAAATATTTCCTCTTTTTCCCTTAATATCTACTATCTCATATTTAAGCTAATACACTTCTTATTATATCAACTAAATAAAAACATCATTATTACATTTATCAATATTTTTTTAGCTTATACATACATAATTATTTTTACATTCAATCTTTACAGTCAATGTCCTGTTATTGGTTTTTCCCAATTTTTAGTTTCCCATCAATATTCAAATTTAACATTTGATATTTATAATTTCCAGGCTTTAGGTAACCAAAGTTTCCTTTATCTCAATTCATAACAGAATCTAATATTCAAAATACACATCTCATCTATTTGGGTATAATCTTGTTCTATTTCCTAAAAGTTATCTATTTCCCCCATCTTACATCATCTAATAATTGATAATACAGTATCCCCTTTAATAAATCAAAGCCCATTATATATATTGTCTGAGTTAATCAATAAATCAAACATATAATATTTTTTTCTTTTGGGTCTAATTTTTAAGTATTACACAAATAGCATCCTTATTTTCAACTAATTTCCAAATGTTTTAAATTTAATGACCAAAATTTCCCTTATCTCAACCTCCCTTTGACCCTCTAATTAGTAATATAAAATCCCCTCTGATAAAACAAAACCCCAATTTTCTTCAGCCTTATTCTGGCTTTCTTTCTTTGCCAGCTAGCCTTCCATGTCAACGCTTTTAAATCATCAAATACAGATGTCTATTATTATATATATTGTTTGGAATAAGAGAGATCATTTAGTTGCCATTTTTTTGGAAGGGCTAGCCCATTTGTATTCCTTAAATCGTCTCCCTATTATTCCAAATGCCCATAATTGTCCTGGTATGTTTATCTTCCATTCAGTCTGTTCTTGCTCCTCAAATTTCTTCTGATTTATATAGAAAGTCTTTTCCATTTTCAGTGTTGTCAGTCCCTTTTCTGGATATTCCATTGGCTGTATTTGTTGGTCAATTGAGTCTTAATATTTGATTGTTCCACTTCTTCTGTTACCTTCTGCGTTGTTAGTTCTTTAGTTGTAGTCAGAATTTGGGTTTGTATATCTAAGCTGACATCTTGTTCTTTTCTGTAACATCTTATTTCATCACAAGCTGAAAGGATGGTTTCATGTATTGATTTTAACATGGAAAGAATATTTTCCTGATTGCATCCATCTTCTCTTAATGGTGCGTTAAGTGGAGGACTTTAAAATCAGACGATGGAAATAATTTTATAGCTGGGTATGGGACCTCTATTTCACGTGTTTGTAGGTAGTCTTCATAGTAAAAGTCGTTTGTCAAATAAGATTTTATAATCCAAGGTATTTCATCATCTCCAATAATGACCAATATTCCTCAGATAAAAAAATAGGAAGGCAATTCCCCACATACAGCTCTAAAAATTAATAAAGGTTTACATTCATAGTTCAAGGAGGCCAGCCATGCCACCCAGAAGTTCTCTTTATAGCTGAACTTCTCACAGATGCTATTTATCAAAGTTAAAGAGTCTTATCTGTAGTCTGGGCTTCAAGCCAAGTCTCCTTTAGGCAATAACGTTGTTTTTTAAGTCCAGAATTTTTATAGTCCTTTTTCCAATTTTATTTCTTTTTTATAGATAAAAACAAAAGTCTTCGGTGAAAATAAGAAAACTTTTGGTCCCCAAGTTTCAGAAATATATAAATCCAATTAGATTAATGTTATTCTTTTAGTGCTCTAACTGCCCTGGGTAGTAAGTTGCCGCTATTCTTAGAGGGTGGGATAGAAATTCCCTTCCCTCTCTCCTCACAGCGGGAAAGATACTTCGGGCAGCTTTTACAGGAAGAAAAATACTTAGGGAGAAGATCAGATCTCACCCAGTTTCATTCGCGTTGCTTTAGAAGTGTCTGGTGGTAAATTTTACTTCGGCTGTCTGCAGCCTAGTGAAGAGCCATATTGCTGTGGCCAGTCTTTCCTCCGCCGGTTTGGAGGGCTGCCCCGGATCAAGCAGAAGGATGCTGCCCTCCCACGATCAAGCGGGGGTCCCCTCCTTGCTCGCTGCCGCTACAGGGCGACTTTCAACCCTTTCCAGGGTCCCGCAGTGGAACAAAACCGAACACAGAAGATGGATCTCGCCTTCCAGCGGCCGCAGCAGCCATGATGGCAAACTAGACCGAATCTATTTTCTTCTTGTGAAGTTGCTGAATGTGTGTGTATCATTTGTCCAGATAATTTAAAAAAAGTTGGTCAGAAAAAAATTGGTATCTAGTAGAGACCCCAGAAATTGTCCACTTACAGTAGATCCAAGGCAGTTTAAAAATGATATATTATTGGCAAGTTCTAAGGATGTGTGTAAGAGTTCTCAAATTGGAACAGCCCATGTTGTACTCAAAATAGGACATTCAAACTTAAGACAAGGCATTTTGAATTTGAAACAGCTCAAATTAGAAATGTGTTCCATATGCCTAGTGCAGTGGTTCTCAACCTTTTTAATGCCGCGACCCACCGGTCGTAAGTCGAGGACTAAACCGGTCATAAGTCGAGGACTAAACCGGTCGTAAGTCGAGGACTACCCAACCGGTCGTAAGTCGAGGACTTTCCCTGCCTGGGAGCGCCGCGCATGCGTGGTTCCGCCCCCTGTGCCTGCCGAGGCGTAGCTGGCAAGCGGCAGAGACAGAGCAGGCCGACCACCAGCTGGCCCAGCCCAAGGGAGGTAAGGCACCCGCCGGGAAAGGGGAAAAAAATGGTGGACAAAAAAAATGGCAGAGAGCCTTGCTTGGCGACCCCCATGAAATGGTCGATCGACCCCAAATGGGGTCCCGACCCACAGGTTGAGAACCACTGGCCTAGTGGCTTCCTTATTACCTGATTTAGCATTAGCTAGAGTGGCCTTTCTCCATCTTGTGCCTTCAAAATGCAATCATTTTCAATCATCAGCTATCATAATCAGCTAATAATAAAAGGATGTGGATAAAAATTAAATGCTATTGAAGACATCTAAGAATGAAAATCATTCTAGGGATTTCATTACATATAAAGACATTCTGTTAAAAAATATATATATTTGCTGAAAAATGTTGCAGCACTGAAAACTGCACTGGCTCTATTATTTTTCTGTAGGTTTTCCTGTTATACGAACAATGCAAGTAAGTATCAAACCAATAATCACTAAAGAAAATCTGCATGGCAAATAGTATATGTATATGCATGTTACTTTTGTCTACTGGGCTAGCACTTGGGGATTGGAAACATTCAAGTTACTATAAAACTAGATTACACCAGAAGTTCTAGAGTAAGAGGGAATCTATAAAGTAAAGAGGAGATGCCATACATCTCATTTCTAAATATGCCCATTAATAACAGTGGCTAAGAATGTGCTCTTCTTTTAAGCATGAAGGATTTCAAGAGATTTAATAACCAAAGATTTAGTACTGTTCTTTTATGAAATATACATGCAAATAATTCAGTAGAAAATATAAAATGCCATCAACAGCCCTATCCTCATCATTTCAGAATGTGGGTACAAGCTAATGGAAAACCTAGGATTCCTAAAATATCACAGTATACAGCTGCTACATCAGCAACTGAACATACAGTATATATGAGCCACAATTACATACAGAAGTGCACTTGTTTACATGTGTATGCTGAAGAAAGACGGAAAGCAGGTTTTGGCAAGAGGAAAACCAAACATGACTCATCCTAAAAGAGAACATCATTGGGATAAATTTACTCTTCTTGCCAAAGAGACAATTTTATATAAACTCTATTTGGGAAGTGAACTATCATATTTTATACACTCCTAGAGGACATCAAAAGCACCAATAAATCACATTATGTTATATGATGTAATGTGGAAAGAAAGCCATTGTCTATTAAAGTTAATTCCTTAATGAAGTATTTTTAACATATTATTCAAAAATTACAACTGTAAATAGCAACAGTTTACAATCATGGATAAATACCTGCTGTAGGAGAGTTTGCATGATGAGACTTTTTTGGCAGATTAAAGATTTGTTCCCCAGGATCAGGTGGTGGAATTGCATCTTGGCCTTGCCGAGCCTCTACTGGATCATATTCTTTCCCATCATAGTTAGCATCAAAAAATTTCTTAAACCACTGTATGAAATCAAGGTTATCTTGGAAACGTCCCTTTACTAATTTTTCCACTGGAATGACCTGTATGACAAAACAAGGCAAATCAGTGATTTAAAATGCCCACAGAAGAATTTCAGTAAAAATGTTTCCAAATGCTAATAACAATAATGCAATACCAAATAGTAAATGTAATAACAAATATTACTATGCAAAATTTTGCATTGTTTCTCCACCCAAACTTATAGCCCTTGATATTATCTACATAACTTCAACAAGAAATTTAATATATTTCATGTTTTCAGTGCTTTTTAAAAGACTAGAGAACAATTCTCTTTTGAGCATATTTATTTATAGGAATACCTAGTGAATAAAATAATACATTTATTTTAGCTACTATAAAAGGAGTCATCACTTTTAGAATACCTTTCACCAATTTCAAACATCATTTTTCCATTAAATAGATGGTTGAATAGTATTATAGACAGCTCTGCATAAACTGGAATCTTTCTAGTTAGGATTCACACTGGGTATGGAATAAAAAACCCACATCTTTTCTTTTCTTGATGACCTTTGGTGGAACTGGGATGGATGAACTATTCTGGTTCTGCTTGACCTTATGACAGCATTCAATAACACTTACCATTATAACTTCCTGGACCAAGTAATCAGATTGGGATGGGGGGGGAGCACTATTCTTCTGCAGTTCTCTTACTTGAGTGGCCTCTTCTACTAATCGGAGATGGTGGATGAGAACAGATCAAACTCTTGGGTATTCTTAAGTCATGCCACACAGCTTGGTCGTCTCTCCACTACCATTTAAAATATATCTGAAGGTATCCGTAAAGGTCACCCAGAGTTATAGTAGCAGGGCCAGCAAGATATGTTGTGGTATCAGGAAGACCTGACATGATACCTGGATGGTGCTAGGATCTGGTTATGGATGGAATCCTATCAAAGCCAGGATGGACGTGGATTTGGAATCCAAAGATAGTCCCTCTATGACTCTCAGTGGAACATATAATCAAATCCTTTGAACTTCTTTTGAGTGAGGCTTGAAAATCAGGTTATGCAGACTTCCACACTTTTACTATGAATATAGACAAAAATCCCTTGTTTGGTAGGCGGGTCTTGAGAGCTCATGAAATCACTGTTTTGAATATCTTAACAATGTATGTTTATCTTCTTATATATAGATTTAGAAAAAAATAATGTTGAAAGCTAGTGAGGCACATTGCAACTAATTTTAAACAATAATATCTATATTTCTGTAGGGATTTATCTTATTCTGTATGTTGTTTAACATCTATAAAACTGACAGGCACAGTGACTTGGCATTTTGTAATAAGTATCTAATGACAGTCTTCTCTATTTTGCCTTACTTTCTGATTCTAAAGAAGCAATGAGCATGCCTGAATGTTGATTACACTACATAAAGAGCTAATAAGTCCAGACACAACAGAGGCACTATTGCTAAGAAGAAACCTGGACTCAGGGACTAGTACTGAGTATGAGTACTAGTCGAGTATGAGTACTGAGGTACTACTGTACATGGGAAAAGTCCTTCTCTTTATCAACTCCAGGCTATGATATGCAAGCTAAAGAATTTATCTCCCACTTTACTAGTATTTTGAAAAAGGTTAAATCAATTTGAATTCACTTGCTTGTAATGATGGTGATTTTTATTTTGCCTTTATTGTAATTATATTATTTTTATTTTTACATTTTATAATGTTAATTATTTTAATCCACTTTGAGTGATGTATAATAGAAAGGGCGGTAAAATGTATAAAGGAGTCAATTGATTAAATAGGCCATCTGTTCCAATGTTGAAAAGTGCTTTTAAGTTAAATGACATCCATCTCATTTAAATTTAAGAACCAGTCTTTTCTATAACATACAGTCAGTCTCACTTAACATTCTGTGCTACTTAAATTTTCAAGAAAGGTTAAAATAGCTCTAATAAATAAATAAAATATAATAATGCATCACTGAACAATACAAAATTCTCTAAATGCACCATTGATTTGTTGCATGAAAAATTCAGGTTAACCATGTTTACCTTATCCACATTCATTCTTTTAAATGATGCTTGCAGAAGTTTGAAGTTATGAATATACTCATGTTCAAGCTTCGCTTGAAATTTTACTTTCTTCAAACTAATACACCCTGGGAACAACATATCCATGAACTGACAGTAAGCTGCTCCTAGAACAAGAGAACAGAGCCTATATTAGTTACAGTGCAAGCAAATAAGCTAGCCAAATGTCAAAAGAAACAAAGTAAATAGACTTACTTATCACCCAGCCCAAAAAGGAACAAAAAGACCGAGCATCTCTCTACCAGCAATCAGTACCCAGATCAGCATAGATTAACTCTAAGGTTAACATCAGACCAACAATCAAATAAACAATACCCCAATCAAAAAACTGCCAAAGATGCCAACTGCAAACAGTCCAATGAAAGAATCTCTGAGACAGGGGTGTCAAACTGCCAGCCCACGGGCTGGATGCGTCATGCCGAAACCGCACCCACCCCATTGCCGGCAATGGAAAAAATGTCACAATACGTCGAAACACGTCATGTGACATTGCAAGTTTGACACCCATGCTCTAAGACCAAACCCACCAATACCAACAGGGAAAGCCACCAGAATATAAGCTGAGAGCAAAGAGCATTCCTTACTAGCATTGATGGTGTTACTTAGTTTGGGTAATGAAAACAAGCAAGCTCAGAGAGCACCAAGGACCCCTCATGTCAACCTTAAATTACAAATCTTCTTCTTTGTTAGATTTACTTATTCCAGTTGCAACAATAGGGTTAAATATCAAACCTATCTTGGTATCAGATTGAAGCAATATGTACATTTAGTTTTAACATGTGGCTGCTTTTCCAAGCACATCTGCAATATTAGAATTGTAACAAATGTTACCAAGACACATTCCAGTAAATACAGTACAAAAAGTCTCTACAGAATATATGTCAAAGCAAGACAAATTAGCATATTGGACAGATCTTAAAAGTTAAAGTGCTTAACTGATTTTTAAGAACCAATGATTTTCAAAGCATTTACTTTTTAATATTTAAGTATTATTTTATCTATATCCTACCTTTATTATTTTTTATAAACAAGGTGGTGAACATATCTTATATGCCTTTTTCTTCCTATTTTCCTTGCAACAACAACTTTGTGAGGCGAGTTGGGCTTCAAGAAAGTGACTGGCCCAAACTCACCCAGCTGACTTTCTTGATTATGGTGGGACTAGAACTCATGGTCTCCTGCTTTATAGCCTAGTACAGTGACGGCGAACCTTTTAGAGACCGAGTCCCCAAACTGCAACCGAAAACCCACTTATGCATCGTCGGGTGCCGGGTGGGTGTGGCCCATTGGCTGGGTGTGGCCTATTGGGTGGGCGTGGCTGCGATGGTAACGGCAGACTGGGTGGGACTAAAAAGTTCAATCAATTCTAACTTTGCAAGATCTTTTTCCGCGAGAAGTTGAAATTGACTGATTGATTGAACCTTTTTTTTTGTACATGGTGGCGGAGGCCTAAAGCGAAAAGGTTTTGTAAAACCCAGCTGAAGACCTAGGATTGGGGCCACGGCGCGTGTGCCCACAGAGAGGGCTCTGAGTGCCGCCTCTGGCACCCATGCCATAGGTTCGCCACCACTGGCCTAATACCTTAACCACTAGACCAAAATGGCTCTCTCTATGCTTAGAGATTCCTCACCAAAATTATAAAAATGTTGTACTTATTCACAGAAGAGTACTTATAGTCCCAGTGAAAACTTTAGATAGCTTATAAATTCCTGACATTAAATCAAGAAAAAAGAAGCTGCCATAACCTGAAAGCCATGAGAACAATTTCAGAGAAACAAGCCAGAAGTCATACAAAACTGAGTGGGGGGGGAAATAGCAAAAGTTTTTCAGTTGCAGAATTTCAGTAAAAGGCAGAAAGACTAATAAATTTCTCCTTCGTTCTAGGTTGTTTCTTTGATTAGTTTCCATTAGTTGCTTCTTGTCCTGCCCTCAGGTGCTTTGGAGAATAGCTTGACTCCCTCTTCTTTGTGGCAGCCCCTGAGATGTTGGAACACTGCTATCATGTCACCCCTCGCCCTTCTCTTCATTAAACTAGACATACCCAATTCCAGCAACCGTTCCTTATATGTTTTATCCTCCTGTCCCGTAATCATCTTTGTTGCTCTTCTCTGTACTCTTTCTAAAGTCTCAACATCTTTTTTACATCGTGGTGACTACTACTAAGGAATTCCAAACCTTGTAAGATGTTATGACAAGTGCCTCAATTTGAATGGCGATTATATCGAAAAGTAATGTAATGTTGTAGTTTTCTAATGTGTATAATAAAAGTTCTGTATCTGCAAGTGTCTGTCATTGATAACCTAATGGAGGTTTATTTCCGAATTGCCCTCGTATTTATATTGCATAACTTGTAGAAAGGAAGATAACTTTAAAAGAAGCATTTCAAAGAGCACACCCTGCACCTACAAGGAACCATAATTAAAGTCAGGCAACATTAAAATATTCATTGCTTTTACCTATTTCTGGAAATATTTTTTTAAAAAAACTCAAGATTTAATTTTCTTTGGAGTATCGATTCAGTTGTCAATAATCATTATATATTTAAAGTGGGCTACAGAGAATTTGCAAAAAGTGGTAATTCTTTTGATCTAATTACAATACAGAAATTCTGTACTTCGTTTAGAATTTAACAGAAGGCAGATGATACACTATCTGTCACCATACAGATCTGGCAATTGTACAACAAAAAAGACAGAAATGAAAGATTGATTTATTAAGCTTACAAATAATATCACAAAAAGGATAAACATATGGATAAACTGAAAGCAGAGACATGATATGTCATGTCATGATTCTAATCAACTAGCTACAAAATGAGAGAGAAAATTAAATCTATCATTTTCTCCCAAGAACAGTTTTCACTAAGGCCAAAATCAGTGTGAATATCTTATCACTACAATATTGACAACATGAACTAATCACATATTTCAGGGGTGAGAATTATTTGGCCAGATACTGAACTTTACATACTTTACATATGAAGTTAGCTTCCCATGAAAGTAATAAATGTAAAATATCAGCATGATTCTCAAAATTAGAGATGATTAGGAATCAAAGGACATTGGACCATCATAAAATTTAAAAAAGGGGTTTCTACCTCCCTGAAGACACAAGGGCAAAGCCTCTATAAATAAGGAGTCCCATGAAATCATCCTACCAGCAGTGCTGAAGGGAGGGCCTC